ATTGTAAACAAGAGAGTGTTGATGATATTTTATATCGTACAATAGCATGTTTAAACTAAGGTTTACTTAGACACCTTTTATCATTGAAGACGACAACGATATAAGGCGAATTCTACATACCGTATAAGTACTTTTTTCTGCGGGAACTTTATTTCTGCTATTTCTGCGGTTTATAACGACACCGCAGATTTAAAAACCGCAGAAAATTAAGCCTTTTGCTATTTCTACATGTATGTCGGAATATGTCAACTACCTGTATTTTATAATTACATTACCATGTACCGTTATCAGCTTTTTTAGATGGGAAGTTTTCTTTATGTATCCGTCATGAATAAAATATTAGAAAAAAAGTTACTTTACTTTTTCTTTTTGTTAAAAAGATATCATATTTGTATGATTTTCGCTCACCCTTAGCTTGATTTATTTAAAATAAAACTATTATAGTTTGACGGGTGCAATAAACATACCCTTTTGTATTTTGTACAATATATTGTGTCTACGTGGTATTTTACCATAGTTTATTTTTCACACTTCATAATTATACACATGCAGTATTACAATTAATTGTTGTCATTGTACGTTGTTGTTTTTTTGTTTATTAACGTTTATATACAGATACATGGTGACTACGATGAACACACATTATAAATCGTCTGTATGTTTAGCGGAAGTAATGTACACGTTACATCAACAAATCTTGAAATGTTGTCTGTTTGTATCGGGAAATTTTGTAAAAATATCTTTATTAAAACGCTGAAATAAAAAACATCAATGCGAGAATGATGAAACCGCAGAAATAAGATACGCAGAAATTTAAAACCCCTTATTTTAACCAAAATCGCAGAATATTGAGCCCGCAGAAATAAGTACTTATACGGTATGACCTAGTTTTTTATGCAAATTCTATTCTGCCATTGTTTAGAATATTTTCTTGTTTCTGATATCTTGCCATTTTACGGCGACGATAATTCATTTTATGAAAGGTGTTTTATTTATCCATTTTATGGAAATAGATGTCATGGAAAATCGATAAAAAATTTCATCCAGTTTAGAGATATTTTCAAATTCGTCATTTTATGACTGGAAGACAGTTTCGTTCTTCTCTCGCAAATCTAAATTTACTATCAATTTCGGAAAAACCTTATTGATATACACAAACAAAAAGAAGTAGGGTAATGAACATTTTATGTTTTTGTTAATGCTTTGAAGCATTGTAATTTGAGTTCGATGTTGTTGATACATGCGTTGTCCTGTTATCGACATATTAATTCGCATGGGGTTTCTGATAGAAACCACACAATATAAGTATCGGAAATTCTAAGATAAATTTAGGCACTTACCGTTTGAAATTCTCCGAAATGTTATCCTAAATATTTCTTTTCTTTATAAAAGTGTAGAATTAGTATTGATTTTACGTTAAATACTGTGATTTTTTAAAGATATAAATTGTGAAATTTTCTCTAGTGCTGATAGCCCAGCCGTTTAGCCTCATTCTGATATTTTTTAGTTCCAGCAGATAGCTGCGTCATCTCTATGTGGGGCTCCTTGGGGGAATATGTGGGAGATGAAACTTGAATTAATTTTCTTTGCCCAGCATTTGCGTAATTGTTGAATGCCTAATGTCATCTTGTTTATGGTGTGTCTTTAGAAGAAAAAAGTGGGATATAGAAATAGGCTATGTCAGTCCATCTGTCTATTTAAGGAAAGTTGGGGGCCATGTAACTGTAAACAGAACAAAAGAAAACAATAAAGTTCATTCCCTAACAATAAAATAAGGGGCCATGGCCCTCTATTAAACAAAAGAAAATAACAAAAGAACTAGTAGACATCTGATGACCAGATAGATATATAATATATAAACATTTCACTTGATTATGGTTAATTGGTTTTAAACAGTGAGTATTGTATATCATTTATGAATGGGCGGACAAAAGACAATTTGTTCATCATGAACTTTGGTAGGCATGCTAGAGATTTGAATATTAAATGTTTTTTCCACAGGAACTTTAATTCTATCAATATTAATGATAATATCCAAAATATACAGGTCTATAATATCCAAAATATACCCCCTATATGGTATAAGTTTATTTATACTATATAGGGTTATTTTTGGATATTATCATTAATATTGGTTATTTGATAGAATTTCAAGTTCATGCGGTATTTTCTTTGTAACATACAAAATAATAAGTGATATGAACAAAGTCTGTTAATTGATTTATTTGGGAGATCAATCTACTTTTTTAATGAATTACTTCAAAAACCTCGTCTGACCCATCAGTGTGTTTATATTCCAATCAATAAACCCGTAATAAATCATGTTAAAATTGCAGATGAAAAATGATAATCCTATGATATAACAATTCGTAAAAATTGCCTACTTAAAGAGTGCAATTAATTGTTTTAACATTTCCTGCAATTTCATGATTTAATACCATAGCGCGACATGAATGACTGTTTCGGTAAACTAAAACTACTTCTATAAACAGATTTTTGGACTTTCACAATGTTAAGGTCATCATTCTTTTTATAGGTAATAACCCACTGTGTACTACAAAATGATTATTTAAAATACCGAAGAGCGCGATTAATTGACGGATAAGATAATATCATTTGAATAATTATGTTAACATTGCGAAATTATCCAGTTTGCTATTCATTGTACATATCACGACATTTCATTTTTATGCCACCGCAGCATCTGCGATGCGGTGGCATATAGCGATTCACCTGTGTGTATGTGTGTTTGTTTGTTTGTTTGTGTGTGTGTGTGTTATATAGATTATATAGTGAACTTAAAAAATCTTCTTGTGAAAAACCACCAGTCCAATTTCAACCAAACTTGGCAGGATTGATCCTTGGGTGAAGGGCTTCCAAAGTTGTTCAAAGAAATTAATTCCATGCAGAAATCTGGTTGCCATGGCAACCAAAAGGAATTATAAGAATAAATTTAAAAAATCTTCTTGTAAAGACCCAAAAGGCCTAGAGCTTAGATATTTTGCATAAGGCATTGTCTGGTAGACCTCTACCAAGATTGTTCAAATTATAGCCCTGGGGTCAAAATCGGCTCCGCCCCGGGGGTCATTGATTTTCACTATATGTACATATAGTAAAAACTTAAAATACCTTTTTGTAAAGACCCATAGGCCTAGAGCTTAGATATTTTGCTTAGATATAATTTGTTCAAATTATAGCCCTATGGTCAAAATCGGCCCGGCCCCGGGGGTCATTGATTTTCCTCATATTTACATAGTAAAAACTTTAAAAAAATTTCTTCTAGCAATTGACAAATGCTAGAGGTTAGATACTTTGCATGAAACATTGTGAAGTGAACCTCTAGCAAGAATGTTCAAATAATAGCCCTGGGGTCAAAATTGCCCCCGCCCCGGGGTCATTGATTTTCAATATATACATATAGTAAAAAATCAAAAAAAATCTTATTGTCTGAAGGTACAAGGCTTAGAGCTTTAATATTTGTTAAATGATATCATCTATAGGTACTCTACCAAAGTTGTTCAAATTTTGCCTCTAGTGTCAAAATTAAAAGTGAACTTTGATATCAGCTGACCTAGATTTTGACAAAGTGTATTACATGTTGTCCTTTGATGCAGTCATGAAATTTTAGGCTGTGTGAAATATGACCTTCACCACCAAATTCACTAGACTCAAGTGCATTGATATATTCCTACTCTGATCTTTTATTGAGTTAACAATAGATTTAACCACTAATCTGATAATAAGAATTAGATATGCATTATGACAATCTTCAATTGTATAGAAACAAAAAAATCTGTTCCTACACTACTATTTAGTGTTGTATTATTGCGGTGGCATAGCATTTTTCTCAAATGCAATCTTGTTGATAATCAAGCACCCTCATACCAATCGGAATGTTCGGCTATTGTGGCGGACGAAAAGGCCTGAGAAGTTGCAATTGCCCTTTCACAAAATCTGATTTCATTTCAAAAGGGGTGTCGCGCTTGGCCTACACTAAGGTCAAGGCAAAGATTAATATAGTCTGTTATAGGGTACATTATAAGTTTGGTCTTACAAGGTCACACTTACAATTAAAAGATATCAAAGTCTGTGTTTTCGTATCCAGAGAATAACTTCAAAGGTATAAGAGATAAACTCTGTATATGATAATTGTTCCCTGCCTTTTGGAAGAAAAAAGGGGGCTGTAGAAATAAGACTCCATCAAAGAATTTTGAAATAACTTAGCTAAAATGTTCTGTTAAGGCATCAGACAGCCTGTCTTATGCAACTGTTAAATGCCTATCTCAAACGTGCATCTGATAACATGAAGTGCACTAGAACAGTGATTCCAGTTTCTTACACTGACCATTTCCTCACTATTTTATCTGTTTTCTAAAGGGTTTGTATCATTTTGTTGTTTTGAAATATTGATAACCACATAAATGTATTTCTACTTCTAGTTGGGTAGAAGTGCAGTGCAAAGAACAGTTACTCTGCCTTGCCTATTTTTGAAATTATTGCACTTTGAACATTGTCCGGGACATAACTGAAACTACAAGAGGTGTACTTTTCTGCGTCCAAAACCTATTTGGGGAGCATCACCCAGTTTAAAATTATATTGACCTAGGATATCGCCTAGGTCAATATACCATCTGCTGGTGAATAACACATCATATTCAATGGCTCACTAGTCAATAATTATATAATATCACATCGTGTGATGCAGTGGTGTATGCAACATAAAGGAAAAGTTTACACTGAGAGATCAGAGCGGGAGATCAGAGGAATACTTTTACATGCATCAAGTTATTTTAATAAAACATGCAATAAATGTTTATCATATTAAAGGGGAGTGTCTCACATTATTTAAAGTCACATTTAAGAGGTCAAAGGTGAGATGAATTGTAAAATTGTATGTATGGACTTTCAATTTATCACTCTGAGATCTAATTTTTCACTTTCTTGAGACTCAGCATTTGTGGTGGTATACATTGTGACAATGACATGTTATATATTTACAGTGGCAGGTCATACAGATGTTGTACCAACATACAATTCACAGTCGTACAGTAAATCAATGATTCTTGGTGAGGAAAAGGTAAAGTATTTATATTGGTAATGGAGTTATTCTTAAGTGGTAATATTGAGGAATGTATACAAAGCTGCTAACAGAAGCAGGAATAACAAAGTAAGGCATTTTTTATGCATGAGACTGCAGCATCTGTGTTACAGATTTTTTAGCTCACCTAAGCACAAAGTGCTCAAGGTGAGCTTTTGTGATCACCATCAGTGCGGCAGTCGTCAACTATTTATACAAACAACTTCTTCTCAGAAACCACTGGGCAAAATGTGATTAAATTTTCCTGGGATGTTCCTAGCATTAAGCTTTACTAAAATTGTTCAAATGGTCCTGCTTAATTGAACATCTGGGTCAGGAGGGCTAAAAATATACATTTGTGTATTTTTGAAATGAAATCTTTAAAAAAAATTCTTATATTAGAGTGCAAGGCCTAAGGCTTAGATATTTTGTATGTTACATCATCTACTTAAACTCTACAAAAATTGTTCAAATTATAGCCCTGGTGTCAAAATTGGCCCAGCCCCGGGGGTCTTTGATTTTCATTATATACATATTGTAAAAACTAAAAAAATCTTCTTGTAAAAACTGAAAGAGCTAGAGTTTAGATATTTGGCATGAAACATCTTCTAGTGGTTGTCTACCAAGTTTGTTCAAATAAAAGCCCTAGGGTTAAAATTGTCCCCACCCTGGGGGTCATTGATTTTCCCTGTATCTATATAGTGAAAACTTAAAAAATCCTCTTGTTAAAAAACCGATAGAGCTAGAGCTTAGATATTTGTCATGAATTATCTTCTAGTGGATGTCTACCAAGCTTGTTCAAATAAAAACCCTAGGGTTAAAATTGGCCCTGGCCCCGGGGGTTCATTGATTTTCCTTATAAAAAATAATAGTAAAAAATTAAGTAATCTTCTTATGAAAATCCAAAAGAGGTAGAGCTTAGATATTTAGCATGAAACATGTGTATGTCTACCATGTTTGTTGAAATAAAACCCCTAGGTTCAAAATTAACCCAGCCCAAGGGAATGGAAGTCGACAGTTCAATCCCCAGCCAGGTCAGTGTTTGTTTTCCTTCTCTTTTTCTGTCATCTTTTTATTAGCTCACCTCTCACTTAGTGACAGGCTGAACTGTTTAATAAAATGGCGGCCAGAGCTAAAATTAGAAAACAACAACATCTAAACAACATCTAAACCACTGGTTCAATTTTGAAATAAATTTACATAAAAATTTCCTTGGTGACAGTACACAAAATTGTTCAGATAAAACTGTCCCTTGTTTTCAAATTGTGCTTCTGGGGTGAAACGGGGCTCCAGTTTGACATTTTTACCTATTTCGCAGGTGAGCGATCCAGGGCCCTCTGGGCCCTCTTGTTCTCTTCTCAGAACTGGTCCTTTTTTTTTTACAGGTAATGCCTACAATGTTGTTAAACGTGCATGTTTTTCACAATTTTCATAACTATTAAGGTTTTTCGCGAAGTGGTCAAGGTGAGGTATAGTGATGGGGCTATGTCCCGCGTCAGGCGTTGTGCATTGTTCCTCGTCATCATTTGGGTTGTTATCCCCCACCGATGGATCAGGAGGGGGATATTGTTTTGTTGTTGTCGGTCCTTTCATCCCTCCATACAAACCCAGAGGTACTTGTGTGACTTGGAGAACAATGGGTAACAGTAAATTCTCTTTGATCCTATTCATTCCATTTTGACTGAAATACTGTTGGGAAAAAAAAAACGGAATGAATAGGATCAAAGAGAATCGATGACTTCTAATTCAGGTACCTCTCTGGCGTGGGTTCGATCCCCGGGAGATGCTTTGGTAGTTTAGCGCGGAGGAAGGTAGTCTAGTACTGGTGTAACTCTCCAGGAACGATGGTTAGGAAACTACCCGCCTATATGACTGAAATACTGTTGGAAAAAAGGCGTAAAATTAAACAAACAAACAAACAAACTGTTGGGAAAAGGCGTAAAATGAAACAAACAAATATATTATAAACGTCCATCCGTCTGTCTGAATTCCGTTTCCGGGCTAGTGCGACTACTGGCTGGAATTCAACAAAACTTTATGGGAACCTTCAATACCAAGAGGAGATGCGCATATCGTTGCCTTGTTCCGGTCAGACACTTTAACTCAGAGTTATGGACCTTGATTAGTTATGCAGTATGCATATAGAGCAAAAATTGTTTCCGCACTACTTTTCTGCAACTACTGGCTGGAATCCAACAAAACTTTATGGGAATCATCATAATGAAGAGGAGATGCACATATCTTTGGCTTGTTCTGGTCAGACCCTTAAATTCAGAGTTATATAGCTCTTGATTAGTTATAGAGCAATAATGGTTTCCCCGCTTCTTCTCTGCAACTACTGACTGAAATTCAGTGAAACTTTATGGGAACCTTCAATACCAAGAGGAGATGTGTATATGGAAAAACCTTGTTGACATTCTAGTGGTCACATTTTTGACTCAATTATCATCAAACTTGGTCAGGATGCTTGTTTAGGTCATTGCTCGGATGAAATTAAACATGGGTCTTCTCGGATGAAAAACTAGGTCACCGCAGCTAAAAATAGAAAAATTTTATTAACACTCTAGGGGCTACTGTTTTCATCCAAATATCCTGTAAATTGGTCTGAAAGTTTGTTTTGATGATTTCTAGGTCACGTTCGAACATGGGTCATCTCGGATGAAAAACTAGGTCACACCGCCTGAATATGGAAAAACCTTATTAACACTCTATTTGTTGCATTTTTGACTCATTTATCATCAAACTTGGTCAGCATGCATGTCTAGGTAATTGCTCGGATGAGTTCGAACATGGGTCACCGGAGCTAAAAATAGAAAAATCTTGTTAACACTCTAGTGGCTACTGTTTTAATCCAAGTATCCTGGAAATTGGTCTGAAAGATTGTTTTGATGATTTCTAGGTCAAGTTTGAATATGGGTAACCTTGGGTAAAAAACTAGGTCACAGTGCTCAAAAATGGATAATCCTTGTTAACACTCTAGTTGTCACATTTTTGACTCACCTGTCATGAAACTTGGTCAAAATGCTTGTCTAGGTAATTGCTGGGATGAGTTTGATGGGTCAGGTGAGTGATCTAGGGCCATCATGGCCCTCTTGTTTACACAATACTATTGCTTATGGTCAAACGATAACTGTAAATCACTTTATATTAGCGTGATCTTTATTTCGCGAAAACCCCATCCCCAATTTATTTCACGTATTCATGAATTCGCGAGGGCAGGGTCAGAATTTTAAATTAGTGATTTTTGTGTTTTTTCCACAGTACAGCAGGGTAGAATGTCTCTATTTTGTTAATTTCTTGACTGTACCTATCAATTTAGGTAAATATACCTTTTAATGTTATCACATTAAGTGACAGTTTTCGATTTCATGAACCAACATAATTGATTTATTATGAAAGGGCTTTTTTGAAATACTTTGTCATACTTGGTTATTGTTTTATAATTAGCATTAAATGTTTGTAAAAAAAGTGTTATATATTTGTTGATAATACTTGAACTTAAATTCTAAACTTGTCTGTTGATTACAGTTTCTTCGTTACTCTAACATTATCTAAACAATATAATGTGTTCACATTTATCTGTAACGTGCGTAATTTGTTGAAATTTTTTTGAAAATAATGTTAGCTTTTAGTTTTAAATATACATGAGAAAAGAATGAATTGGAAATCTGCTAGTCAACCTTCATATCTTGATTATTATGTAAATAAAACGTTGTACACATTATACCCCTGCACAACAAAGTTGTAAGATGGGTATACTGGAATCAGCTTGACGTCTAGTCGGTTGTTCCTTGTCCGCCCAATTACTTCAGATTCCTTTGACCCACAGTCTTCATATTTGTTATGCAGTTTAGTCATGATTAGTAGATGACCTTTTTGATTTTGAGGTCACTTGGTCAAAGGTCAAGGTCACAAGGGTCTTGATTGAAAAAAGCCTGTTTGCCCAATAACTTAAGATTACTTTGACCCACAGTCACAGTCTTCATATTTGGCATGGAGGTTAGTCACGATGAGTAGATAACCTTTATTGATTTTGAGGTCAAAGGTCAAGGTCACAGGGGTCTTAACTAAAAAAAGCCTGTCCGCCCAATAACTCAAGAATCCTTTGACCCACAGTCTTAATATTTGGCATGGAGGTTGGTCACGAAGAGTAGATGACCCCTATTGATTTTGAGATCATTGGGTCAAAGGTCAAGGTCACAGGGACCTTGATTGAAAAAAGCCTGTCCGCTCAATAACTTAAGATTCGTAGCGCTTTGACCCACAGTCACAGTCTTCATATTTGGCATGGAGGTTATTTATGATTAGAAGATGACCCTTAAGGTCAAGGTCACAGGGGCCTTAAGCTCAAAAAGCTTGTATAATGCATGTTGTGTTATAAATTTTCTCAGTATGATGAATTGTCAATGCAGCCTTTTCGCGAATAATAGCGAAAATTAAAACATCACGAAATATTCCAGATTTACAGTATCCTCTTTCAGTAAACTTCGCTTATAACGAACTTATTGGGACATTTAAAGTCTGTTCCTTATAACCGGAGTTTCTTGTAAGCATATAGGGAATTAGTTTCATGTATCAGGAGTTTTTATAGCGAACAGATTTACATATAACGAACTGATTGTTTGTAATTGTCCTCCATTTTGAAAATCATTTGATTAAGAAAAAATAATCATTTATTCTTTTTTAGACACAATACCCTAGAATTTGAAAATCCTTTGCTATTTCAGTTTTAGCTTAACTCCCGTTTGCAATTTCTCATAAAATATCATATTTTCTTTTTAAACTCAGTGCTTTTCGTTTTCTTTCTATGATTAAGAATAAATAAGATTTTCAATTTTTCCTTCCTTTTATATTGAAAGTCTTATTATATTTTATGGGTGACTTTTTCTGATGAAAGATATACATGTAGATTTCTTTTCATTTCAATCAAGCATACTTTGTAGTTTTGAATGGATTAGTAAGCATGTGTGATTATGTTGATTCCGGTTATGAATGATCATTATTTTACTCGAGAAAAAGTATTAAAGATAAAAAAATAATAGAATAAAAGGAATAACCGTTTTTTCTTGGTGCTAAATATATCCTAAAAAGAAAACTATTACATACTGCTATACAAATTCAAAGGATTGCCGATATTTTGGAGTTCTTTATAAAAGTGTAATTTTCTAATTTACTTTTAACTAAAATGAGTTCCTTATAGGCGATTATTCCCTATAACCATGTTATAAAATAAATTGTTCCTTATAACCGGAAGTTCGCTATATCCGTGTTCGCTATGAGTGAAGTTTACTGTATAAACATTTCCCAAAACATATGAAACTATAGTATACATGCAACAGTAATTTAAATGTTAAATGCAAAACTCCAAACCTGACAGGAAATCAGTTTTGAAAATACCACTCATTTGCTATATTCGGATTTTTGAGCATATTGATTGATTTTAACTCTCTAATTCTAATGCCTCATGCAAAATATCTTAAGCCTTTGGTTGGCATGACAACCAGATTCCTGCATGGAAAGAAAATTTTTGAACAACTTTGGAAGCCTTCACCCATTTTTAGAAACAATCCCGTTAAGTTTGGTTGAATATTGACGGAGAAGATTTTTTAAGTTCATTATATAATCTATAGAACACACACACAGATGCTGCATTGGCATAAAAAGTTCCGTTTCTTTCTTAGGAATAATGCTGTTATTTATCACATTCTAATTCAAGAAAAATGTTGCTTGATAATTCGCTCATTCTCAATAAAACACGGCATTTGATGTTCCACTTGGTAGCTCTTATGCGAAGGGTTTACTTGAGGGAAAGGTAATTGCCATAATTGAATCAATGTATGCTTAATAATAAAGCATATATATAATTACCAGCAAAAATAAGCTTGTAGTCTCTCAAATATCATTCTGTTTTCAAAAATTGTAATTTTTTATTCAAATCTTTTCAACAGCATTTTAAAAAAGAACCTATGTTACTATTGTTTAAGAGCTAATCCATTCAAGGAAGATTCCAAACAAGAAAAAAAATTGACATGTATGTGACTTTATATATTTACCACAAATTATGGCGGGTGATACGCTGTGGCTTCATTTTTCAACCCACTGTCAATGTACCAACTTTTTAAAGTAATTTCATCAAAAGGGAAATTCAAGTCAGACAACACATATAACTCACTATTAAGTTCTATTTTACATTAGTAAGTAAACTCTGTAAACTTTGGTTGAATTTTAACTTATTTGAATAACCACAGTGAAAACAAACGTTACTTTTATAAAACAGACTTGATATTGTTTACACATGCAAATATAAAAAACATAAAATCGTATTTTATGACAATAGAATGATGCAAATTTGATTCCTAAATAAAAAAAAGTTGATTTTACATGTAAGTTTCAATTCTGTGATAAGGTTCATAAGCCAGTGTGAAACATACGTTACTCAAAAACTTACAATTCAACAATTTTTTTTACATCAAAGATAAAATTGGGATTGGCATGCCTGTTAGTAATGGTTACCTTGTGTAAGATGTAAGAAGATACAAAAGTGTTTTTGCAAAGGAAAGATATTTTCATAATATATTGATGTACCAGCAGAAATGTTAAAAAATATATAACAAGCTGTTGATGTTCTCAACAACAACTAATTCGTTTCTGCAAAGAGCTTACTGGCTGTATTTAATTCTATATATAATTATGTTAAAATAATATCCAACAATATAAATAATTTTTAAAAAAATAAAATTCACCGTTTTCTTTACCTAAAATTACTTGTATTTGAATAAATGAAACATACGTGACATGTTATATGGGGATAAATATAGAGCTGCTTAGCAAAAAAGTTTCCAAATATGAAGAAAGTGGAAAATTGAATATTTTGAAAAAAAGTTGCTAAATACAACATTTGTGTATGCATTGATATTTGATATATCATTCTTTGAATAAGGACATAAAATAATCATTTCCAAAAGGGGCGTCTGTGGCCAAGTGGTTAAGGTCGTTGACTACAAACCACTTGCCCCTCACTGCTGTGGGTTCGAATCCTGCCAGGGACTTGGATTTTTTCATGTGAGGAAGCTATCCAGCTAGCTTACGGAATGTCGGTGGTTCTACTCAGGTGTCGTTCATGCCTGAAATGATGCACGGAAGGGCACCTGAGGTCTTCCTCCACCAGTAAAGCTTGAACGTCACAATATGACCTATACTGTGTCAATGTGACATAAAACCCAATCAAACAAACAAACATTTTCAAAATTGACTCATTTTGCATTCTATGAATATTTAATGTTGAAGAACTAAACTGAAAATTAGTATGGCACATGTACCAAACTTCCTTGAATTTTCCTTGGCTAGAAAGTCCCTTTAGATAGAGAATTTACAGATTTTGATATATTTTACAGACATTTGTTATTATAATATGAAGTCAATATGTTACATTATTAGATCTGAAATCTATGTAACCGAGGAAATACAGTGTCATTACGGAAAAAAATGCTATCATGTGATATTATAGTTTCTTGTTGAAAAAATTTCTGGCAAACTTGCAAAATACCCTAAACTTTTACTTCAGCGAAGTAAGCATTTAGTAAAATGACACAATGATTTTTAATATTTTCCATCCTCAAATGCTTCATTTTATTGAGAATGGGTGAATTTTGTGGGAAAAATGTGTATTCTTGTATACTATTATTATACACAAGAAAATGGACAGCCTAGAACTGATTTCATTCTTATCTGACTTATTTTTTACAGACTTTCAGTGGTATACACTCATCATCCTCATACAATGATGGATATAATGCAGCACAGCAGATGTTTAACACGTACAATGCCAACAAGTCCTCACTCCTTGATTCTACCACATTCAGGTCAACCTACTCCACAGACTCAACTTTGTACCAGTATTACCCAAGTCTAGTTGCCAACACACCTCCACAGAGCTGCATATATTCAACAAGCAATGAACTTGTCAGTTCCAACAATTACCTAACAACCCTGCCGTATACAACTGCAAATACAAAGCTTGAAAATACAACTTTATTGCCTGAAAATGCAAGCAAGGAATGCTGATTTTTGAACATTATTTGATATGAACTTTGTACCAAACATTTACTTTTGATGATTTTTCTCTAGAATACGTTGTAAATTAACTGTTTTTTTTATATGTTGTAAAATAACTGTTTTCAGAGCATTATTTTTGTTTTTAAGTGACTTGCTTAGCTCAATACAGAGAGCATCAGACTAGTAATGCAGGGGTCGCTGCTGGTACGATCCTCGGGCAAGACAAAATACGGAGAGCATCAGACTAGTAATACAGGGGTCCCTGCTGGTACGATCCTCGGGCAAGACAAAATTTCTTCCTGACAATTAAGTCAATGGTCATTTGTTTGCTCGAGGCTGATTCAGTTATTATGAAGGGTAAGTGTTAGGTCACTTGCTTGGGATGGGAGGGGGGCTGAGGGAATTGGTAATTACTGGTTCAGTATCAAAGAAAGCGTGTTAGGTGGATCAACTGCCAAGATATGACCAAAATATTTTTAAATGAGTGTAAAATAAAGAATGTATTAGCTTAACTGAGCAAAAATGATAATGGAGAGCTATTGTGTCAAGGCCCTCAATGTGCGTTGATTGGCCACTTATAAACCCCCCACCCACCTTCCACCTTTATACCCACTCTACAATCCTCTTTCCTCTCCAACTGCAGTATTTTTCATTGGAATATTTGATATAAATGTTTTTAGTTAAATTTCTTTATTCCTTGCAAAAAATAGAATATGATACATATATATTTAGTAAAGGAATGCAATTCGCAGCTCATTTAAATTTCAGCACTCAACCGAAGGTTCAGGGTGAGCTGTTAGTATCAAAGGGGAATGCTCCATTGTCATGTGTCAACATTCATCTTCTCTGAAACTGCTGGGCAACTTTACTTCATATTTGGTCTGTAGCATCCTTGTGGCAGTCACACTTTAATTTCCTCATATGATTTCAATTGGCCCCTTTTAGGGGTCAACAGAACTAAAAAAAGACAAGAAATGTTGAAGGACACATATGCCCTCTTTCTAGCCCTTGACTCATACTATTGGTCATTTTGTTATGGCAACTTGTCATAAATGGGTAGATAGAAGTGTTCAATTATGGAAAAAAAATTAGTTGTCACCAATCAATATGTGAAAGCTTATCTAACTAATGAGATCTATCTACCTACCAAGTTTCGTGTTGATATCTCTTACAGTTTCAGAGTTATGTCCTGGACAAATTTCAAATTGTAACAAGAGCCACCACCGAGCGGGGGCAACGCTCAACTTTTTACTTTTTCTAAAACCAAACAGAAATGTTTGAACAAATCTGAATGTTTCCTTTTTATATGCCCGAAAGAATTTCTGGCATACTATGTTATACCCCTTGGCGTCTGTCTGTCGGTTAGAAATTTGGTTTTCAGAGTGCATAACTTGAGTTTCGTTTAGCCCACAATATTCAAACTTCATAGGATGATTGTCCATATTGGGTAGAAGACTCCTATTAATTTTGGGGTCACAAGGTCAAAGTCACTATTACCTTAAAACTAGGGCTGGGAATGAATAAGGATTAAAAATACTATTATTTCTACGTCAAAGTTTTTTTTAAATTTTAAATATTGTAAATCGACATATATGTTTACAATTAGAAATAAATTCATAATTTGATTGCCTTTTTTTCAGTTAATCCTATTTGTCTTATTAATGGGAGGTAACTCACATGACTTGATTGACAGAAATATGAATCATCGTAGCCTCTTAGCCCCAATATCGAAACTTAACTTGCATTAAATATTGTTTTATTTATTTATAATATTAGATAAGGTTGAAATATTCTTAAAATAAATTTACACAATGTAGCTATAACGCAGTAAATATCAAACGGAAAGTAACATGAACGGAATAAATATATTCTGACAAAATATAGACACTTACCATGCTTTCATAACTGCAGATTAATGTGTTTTATTATCCCCCTCCGAAAAGGCGGCGGGGGATCTAGTAATAGTCTCCTTCCGCCCGACATTTTTGTCGGGAGCATATCTCTAAATGTATTTGAGTTATCAACTTGAAACTTCATAGGTGGATCGACCTCATTGAGGAGGAGTGCAGTGCACAAGAATGATAACTCTACCCTGCATAATTTTTTAGTTATTGCCCTTTATTTTTCAAAATTGATTTTTGTCCAGAGCATAACTCAAAATGCCTATTAGATATCAACATGAAACTTCATAGGTGCATAGATCTCACTCAGGAGGTGTGCAGTGCACAAGAATGATAACTCTACCTTTCATAATTTTTGAGTTATTGCCCTTTGTTATTTTTCATACTTAATTTTTCACCTGAGTGGAGCTGACTCAAAAAGTGTTTGAGATATCAACATGAAATGTCATAGGTGGATAGATCTTATTGAGGAGGAATGCTGTGCGCAAGAATGATAACACTTCCCTATATAATTTTTGAGTTATTGCCCTTTGTTCTTTTTCATGCTATTTTGTCCTGAGCTTATCTCAAAAAGTATTTGAGGTATCAACTTCATAGGTGGATGGATCTCTTTGAGGAGGAGTGCAGTGCACAAGAATGATAACTCTACCCTGCATAATTGTTTAGTTATTGCCCTTTGTTATTTTTCAAAATTAATTTTTGTCCAGAGCATAACTCAAAAGGCCTTTGACCTCAGGAGGTGTGCAGTGCACAAGAATGATAACTCTACCTTTTATAATTTTTGAGTTATTGCCCTTTGTTATTTTTCATACTGAATTTTTCAATTCAATTTTTTTCTTAAAAGTATTTGAGGTATCAACTTGTAACTTCATAGGTGGATAGATTTTCCTGAGGAGGGATGCAGCACACAAGAATGATAACCTACCCTGCATTATTTTTCAGTTATTGCCCTTTGTTATTTTCAGCCATCAGTATTCACACAGCCATCATTATTCACATAGGTTTCAAATCTGTAATCACTATAGCCATCAGTTTTCATTACCAAAAGACCTCTTAAAATGGAGTTTTTCTGCTCTACTACATATACATTCTTCCAATGAGCAAACACATTCAGTGGGGGATGGCCATGTTGACATGGCTCTTGTTCTTCTTTACAAAATTTAAGACAATTATTGGTTAATCAGAAAGATTATAGCACAGAAAACAATAAATAAGATAATTAAAATCAGAAAAAATACATTCTAAACTGTTAAACAGGTAAATTACAAACTGTTAAACGGGTGCCCTTTTGATCAACTAGACCCCAAAATGTTCACAGTTAATTGGCGATGATCGTTGACACGCGTCATACAAACGTGTGAACACCTGGTCAAGTAAAGGTCAATGGTTTATTTACGATCTTAATTGAAATTTGAAAGTAATAACAAACAAAAAAAACATTCTTTTTTTTTCCGAATATTCGTATTTGTTTTTTTCAATGTTTGAATATTTGGTAGTGTTTCGAATATTCGAATATAATTCCCGGCCCTACTTAAAACTGAAAAACGTATCCGGAGCATAACTTAAGACACTATTACCTTCAAACTGAAAACAGTTTCTGCTCAATAACTTAAGTATTAATAAACCTACAGCTGTAAAATTTTATAGGATGAACAGCCAAGTCCAAAGCATGACCCCTATTGATTTTAGGTTCATAAGGTCAAACGTCAGGGTCTTAATGATCTTTACACCGAAAATTGTGCTTTCTGGAGCATAGAAAGTTCCATTTGGCTTACAGTGTTCAAACTTTATAGGATGATTGCCTATATTGAATAAAAGATTCATATCTATATGGGGGTCACAAGGTCAAAGGACAGTATCAAATGACCTTAATATTGTTAACAGTTTTACAACTACTGTATCAAACTTCTTAGGATGATCATTTATATTGAGTACATTAATATATGCCCTAAAAAACTTGCTTATATTATTATTATATAACAACTTGATGGTGGTGCTTTGGAAACAGCAACTGTACTACTATATATATGAAGTTTCTTCAGCTATAAAGGAGGATTGCTTTTTGAAGGAGGCAATACTTTATTTAATTCCCATGTCTTACAAATGCTTCATCCTTACAAAAAATACACTTTGGGGCATATAATGGTCCGCCCAGCAGTGCTCTTGCTATAATTATCCCCCGCCGATGGAATCGGGAGGGGGATATAGTTTTGGCGTTGTCCATCCGTCCGTCCGAATTTCGTTTCCAGAGTAGTTCTCTGCAACTACTGGCTGGAATTCAACTAAACTTTATGGGAATCATCAATATCAAGAGGAGATGTGCATATCGTTGGCTTGTTCCGGTCCGACCCTTTAACTCAGAGTTATGGCCCTTGATTAGTTATGTAGTATGCATATAGAGTAAAAATCGTTTCCGGAGTAGTTCTCTGCAACTACTGGCTGGAATTCAATGAAACTTTATGGGAACCTTCAATATCAAGAGGAGATGGGCATATCGTCGGAATGTTCCGGTCAGACACTTTAACTCAGAGTTATGGCCCTTGATTAGTTATGCAATATGCATATGGAGTAAAAATCGTTTCCGCACTACTTCTCTGCAACTACCGTCTGGAATTCAACGAAACTGTATGGGAATCTTCAATATCAAGAGGAGATGCGCATATCGCGGGCTTGTTCCGGTCAGACCCTTTTACTCAGAGTTATGGCCTTTGATTAGTTATGTAGTATGCATATAGAGTAAAAATCGTTTCGGCACTACTTCTCTGCAACTACTGGCTTGAATTCAACGAAACTTTATGGGAACCTTCAATACCAAGAGAAGATGCGCATATTGTCAGCTTGTTTGGGTCAGACACTTTAACTCAGAGTTATGGCCCTTGATTAGTTATGCAGTATCCATATAGCAAAATATTTGTTTCCTCGCTACTAAAGTCTCTGCTACTACTGGCCGGAATTCAATGAAACTTTATGGGATACTAAGAGGAGATGTGCATATAGTCGCCTTGTTCCAGTCAGATACTTATAACTCAGATTTATGGCCCTTGATTAGTTATGTAGTATGCATACATCTCATTGGCATTTCCAGATTTTGCTATTTAACACAAAGTTATGGCTCTGTTATTGCCCTGAATATTTATCAAGTTCAAAGAATATTACTGTTTATGCCATGATTAATATATAAATAAAGCCTTATGTCTTCAGTTGTTGTGTTAATAATAACCAGTACTCG